TATATTATCATAAGCCTGCATAAATACACATCAGAGCCAACATCTTTATATCATGCACACATATTTAATATCTCACCAATGCTTGTGAGCAAAAGAATAAAGCCTTTGTGTAACAACAAAAGAATCATACTGCTTCCATCATACAACACCCACTTTTGTATATCATACCTTCTAATACCTAACCTTTTAATAAGCTACTTGCCCACAATTTATTAATAGAGATTCTCCAATTGCATCACTAGAAAAGAATGTGGTTTCAGAATTGCAAGAGTAAATAAAATAGTAATCCTCGTGTTATAAATTATGCATTTTTCATCTCAAAGGACAATAAATAAAGCATCTTTCATCTTTATGAATCCCAAAGCAGTTAACAATTTATAAACTAGCACATGGGGATCACTTGATTCATCACTGAAAGACATCCTGCCCTGGGATCCTGTGGTGTTTTTTTTAGCACACACAAAACATAATTAAAAGATGGGAAGCAAGGAAAGAGAACACCAGTGGCCTAGATTTGGGACATTTGAGCAGAAGAGATAGGAAGCTGACTGAAATATTCTCTCCTATTTGAACTCAGAAAGATGCTACTCTCAAGATTTCCCGGATACAGAGGTATAACCCTTCAAAGATTTTGTCAGTGTTCCCAGTTGTTTTCACCTGGATTATTACAATATGCTTTGTTGAAACAGATATTTGTCACATTATTTACATATTGACAAACTTGTCACTGTCCTTCACCTAGCATAAAAATCAAACTTCTTAGAATGGCATAAAGGATGTTCCACCAAGCTATTGATTATAAAAGATCCTTTGACATCTAGCTCCCCCACCTCACTCTGAGAAAAAAGTGGGCTCCCCAAATGGTTATCGCAGTAATACAATCGATACGACTAACACTTGATGTGAATGTCAGTACTAGGGAGGAAGTAGATATCTGTCTATACAACCCCATTATTTCGATGAACATGCTAAACCACAGGAAAACTTGATAATTTATCCAAATTCATATAGCTATACAGAGACAAAGTTGGAATGATGCTGGAGGAGTTAGTCTTGACTGGTGGTAGATTCAAATCCAAGTTAAAGATAAGGTGACCATATGCTTTGTCATTTAAACTATGACACCTATGAGAGAAAAAGGGCACACGCTAGTAACTGTTACACCAAGACAATGAGTAAAGTGGGAATGTCCAGAGAAGACTAGACCACAGCTCCTCTAGTGAGGAAAAGCACATTAGAATTTCTAGAATTTTGGCAGAGGGAGCTATAAGGAGTTTGATAAAACATATACATAGGGACTTCATAACAGAGTGTCTACAGCTGATCAACATACACTTGGCTGGCCAGGCTTCTCTAGAAGATAGAATGAAGAAGCTTTGAAGGAGTGTTTGACTGTGACTAGTTGCATAACACTGCTCTGGAGTCAGCCTGGCAAATTTCTCTCTGGGAGACCACCAAACTCTGTGAGCTACACTTGAAACCATGTGTTCTCACTTGAATGGGATAATGCATGCTTGTGAAGGGAGCTGAAAAAGAAACAGTTCTCCCAAGCCCTTGTCTTTGGCATTATATGAATCTCTCGATAGGGGCCAAAGGGTTTACAAAGGTTGTATTTTTCTTGTTCACACATTTGAGATGTAATATCATGGGTTATCATAAACAAGGGCCACATTTTCACCTGGCAGATATGGAATCTCCTTAATGAACTAGGTGTCTCTATCTATATTTTAGACCTTGAAATAAGTTGTGACCAAATAGGACAAATGTCATCTACAGAACTATTAACATTACAATTCCAATATTTATGATTACTTTAAAAAGACATCTTTTCAAATACACATGTGATGCTGAACCCCTGTGGTATCTGAGTCCAGGGCAGTAGGTTAGGTTGCTTCTGAGAAGTGCCTGGTCATTATCTTTTCTCCAGTGTTGAGTGATGTTTGGGTATTAATGTGTTCTGCTTTTTAAAAAAATATAAACTTAACTTGGGCTGCACTGCAATATAAAGTACGTGAAAGTACACACCTCTACAGAGAATAAGCTTCCTCCAAGTTTCCAAGTCCTAGATTTTGCAAATATTGACAATGTCAGCCCTGTAAGAGCCTTTACACATGTAAGCATTCGATCAATACATGGATTGATACTTAGGATGTGGTCTAGAGGAAGTTAAAAAGAGCAGTGTTTGAGAAGAGTGAGAAAGAATGACTTGTTTGCAGCCCTGATTTCTGAATACACTGCGGAGCTAAGAATAGGGTAGGTGTTCAATAAATATTTGCTGAGTAAGTGTTGAAATAATGCCTATAAATCTTTCTCTTCTCACAAGGCCTCAAACATATAAAGCAGAATGATAGCCCTTGGGTTAGGAAGGCTAGCCTGTGTGATCTCTCCATTTGCCTACCCAATTCCAGGTGGTGACAAAGCAGCCAGGCTGCCTCTCCACCCTTGAGCTCTTAGTTTTCCCGCAGACTTATTAGATAATTCATCTTTTTTTTTCACCCTAAAAAGATCCATTAACAAATGAATATGTCAAGGGGAAAAAGTAAGACTCTATGCATGGGGAACACATAGCTGGTGAGGGGCACGGATTAAGAGAAGCCAGCCGATTCTCAATATTCACGATTCTCTGAACCTAGCTGACCCACCAATGCAGACTCTGAAAGACGCTGGCTCTTCAACATTGCAGCTGTCTTTGTAAATGAATCCCAGGCCAAGACTACCACCTTTTGCCATACATGGTCACGCTGTACCTCCGCATCCACATAAAGCTTTCTTGCTCACGTGGAATGAAACACAGACCCCTAAGAGTACACAAATTCAGCAGTAACTACTATTACTCACTAAAAGACAAATCAACATCAGCTTAGGCCAGAGCAGATTTTTATACATCTGGCATTATTTTGGAACAAGGTGTTCCTGATTTATGAATTTGCCAGATAAATGGGTTAGGAAATGGCAGACTCTATATGCAGACCATATGCAAGGGACCATGTGTCTCGTGATCTGAATTAAATCTATAGAAGGAGGAAGTAGGAGTTATCAAAGGTAAGGAGAACTAAACCTCCAAGAATTCACAAAGAGATTGAGAGGAATGCTGGGCTTCCCACATAGGGATTTGAACAAATTTCATGTGAATCTCAAATGATGGGGTGACTCCAGGCTAACATTGGAGATAAAGAAAATTGCAAATTTGTAACTAGAATCAGGTGTTTTTAGCCAATCAGCAGCTCTTTCCAAAATCATTTTGCCCTTCACACATGTGATAATGTGCTCAATAAATTTGCCCAAGATTGAGAGGAATTTTTGGAATACAACTTTGTAAAGGGCAGGAGTTATGTTTTAACTATACAAAGAAAAATGGTGTGCTTTATATAATGCACAGCATGGCCTTTATTTCCTCCCTTCTTCATGATCGCTGCTAATCAGAGCGCTTTCACAGCACCTACAGTTGAGAAAGAAGATGGGCCGTTCACAGCCGAACAGGCTTGTTTCCACTTGCCACATAGGTGAGGAGCAGTTGCCCTGACAGCTGCCCTGAGATTGACTTCCTTTGCCCTGCTCCCCACAGCTGCCCCAGGCCCTTCCCACACCTCTGCAAGCCGAACTGCAGGGCTTCTTAAAGGGCCCTGAGGCCCCAACGTTACCTGGCAACCGCACACCTGTGAGTTAGGTCAGCCAGGCAGTGTTAACCTGTGTGTCAGGGCTTGCGGTTCCCAGTGTGTTCTTGTGCTTCCTTATTACAGCTTACCCCACCAGCCCGGAGGGGAGAGTGGGAGCTGATTGTTTTCCTTCTCAGTTTCCTAGATACAAACAGATCCACTGATTAGCTCTCAACTGAGTGTCCAAAAAGGCTAAGGCATACACCACAGCATTAACCTTGAAAATGTAGTTTTGAAGAAAGTGTCCAGTTTCATTTCTGGAACTATCTTTTTACCAATAAACCAGATCCTTAACTTGGGAGAATTAAGAAAAAAATTCTGAACGGCTCATAGTACATTATACTAAATTTGATTTAAAAGAGAAAAAGACTATGTAAAAATTATGTTTTTTTTTTACTTTGAATCTTTGTTTCTCTCCAGCTTCTTAACACCAGAAGGGGTTAATGGTGTCAAAATTCAAGAGAGTGATTGAGAGTTATTACTCTGTACTGGCCTTTTTGACCAGTTCAATGAGCAGCTTCGGGGTTGACCAGCAGGAACTCTCCAATGTACCTACAAGTTTCTGTTCCTGACCTGGGAAACCTGACATTGACCTCACTTCCTGTCTGCTGACCTTGCTAGGACACCTTTTCTGGGAGCAAATGAACATCTGTAAGGACAGAGAACTAGGCTGCTGCAGTGCCTCCTCCTTCATTGCCCCACAGGAAGTAAATCATGGCAGGGAAGAACCCAGACAGAAGTGGATGTCTGCATGCTGCTGGAGCAACCTCAATAAATATTTTGTAAATGTTTCTTCAGTCCTTCTTAGGGCATTAAGAAAAAGAATTATGTTCTCATTTTTCTACATATTATACCCCTAGATTTGTAGTCCTAGGCATGGATGACATGTTAGTAAAATCTGACTTCCTCTGCTAGTTTTATTTTCTTTCCTTTTTTTCTCACTTGTTTCTCTCCTCTCTCCATCTCTTCATATGTGACTTCCCATTTTACCTGGTTTCTCTTTGTTCTACTCTCCCCTCCATTATATCCCTCTTTGTCCCATTCTTTATCCATAGACCCCTCAGCCTGAAAATGGCCATTTCATCTGTTTAGGTCTCCATGAATCATCTTGCTTGTTTAAGAAGCTGGAATGTAAAGGTACCCAAATTCTAAAATAAGCTCAGAGTCCAAAGGCTTCCAAAGATTTCATTTTAGGGTTAGGTGACCCTCATTGTGAAGATGTAAATGCTGTTTGCTATTTTTTATATTTGGGGCATCCATTTCTGGATCACCCTGCTCTCTAAAATTTTTTGTTGTTAAACTTTGCCCCCAAGAGTACTTATTTCTCAGTTAAATTACCCATACCTCCTCCAGGATAAATCCGCAGAGCCTTTGATCTTCTGTAACTCAAGATGAATTTCTCCTCAAGGCTCTTTTACAAGTATCTGAGTGCAATGATGAGGGGCTAGCGGTGACATGGAGACGCCTTCCTTCCTGCCTTCTCACGAAGCCTCATTTTCTCCTGGTCAAAACAAATAAACAAACAAACAAAAAACCTGTTATGTTGCTATTGCTGATTTTTCAACTGGATTATTTTTTGTTAAATTTTAAATGTAGGACTGGAATACAAAACAAGCTGTTTTTTAAGAAAACTAAATTTCTCCCTTAAGGAGTCTTTTCTAATTTACTTTGTTTTCCAACATTGGGATTTTACAAACCTGTTTCTCTTGCAATCTCTCTTGAAAAAAAAACTTCAGCTCTTGCTTTGTGCTGTTAGGGTTGATTGTGTTTTGAGTTTTCTTGTTTTAACAAGGAACATTTACATGTTTTATGTGCTGTGTATATATATAAAAGAAATCATTAACAGCGCCTAAAGTTAATAGCCCAAGAACGTATGGCATAATATACTGCAGTGTCACTGATTGGATGAAAAAGATTTAAAATAGTACTGAGGGAGAGAAAGTATAAACAGTATGAAACTATTACTACTCCAACTAGTTCTGAAAGAGCTCAATGTGAAACCAACCAGAAAATGATCATTCCACAACTATAAATATAAAGCACTAAAAAAGACAAAAGTTCTCTGGCATTGCGAAAAGTCCATAAATAAAGAGCACCCCCAAAGGTATTTATTGGCAAAAGTATTTAATGTGGCAATAAAAAATATTTGTTTTCTTTATATTAATTGATTTTTGATGGAATCTGTACAATTAAACCCAATATAAGAAAATAACAATTGGAGTGAGTTTGCCACCTAATTGAGTATAGAATTAGGAAGACATAGACCCTGAAGAGGTTATATGCCTTTACATGTACTGTCAAGGTTACTTGTTATGTCTTGTAAACAAAAAGTGTTCTATACTAAAAAAAATCACTCTTTTAAGGTACACATACATACACACATACAAGAGCACACAATGTGAAAAACAGGGGTTTTTATGGCTTTATGTGTTGCACACAAATATTTAAGTATAAGCAGAGTAGCATTTTTAGGTAGAAAGCTCTACTCCATGAAGCCAATCAGGTCAACTTTCACGTCAAATATATTTCAGTTAAGGAATGTACTATGAATTCATTTTATTTTTAATATTCACTAGGTTTCATAAGAAAAAGTGACTTTTTTAAAAGATGGGGTTATCTGATGTCAGCTAAAAGCAATCCACATAGTGTGGCCCTATGTGGCCCTATTGTGGGCCCTAAGTACTAAGCACAAAGCACTCAGAACCAAGAAACAGCAAATTAAGGAACACAACAAATTACATATAATTATCATTTTGATTCATGAAGCCAAACACTTCCAAACTCAGACAAGCATTAGGGATTATGGCATTAATAATTTACCTAATAGCAATAACAATGAAAGTGGTTTTCATAAGCCCAAGTTACTAAAATATATGGGCCAGCTGCTTTGCTCCTCACACTCACCCTGTGGGAGACAGAAGTAACGAGAGTATTCTGATGTCCAGAAATCCCAGTAATGAAGACACAGCAGGAGAGGTTGGCATTAACCTTTGCTTCCATTTGAATATTATTAGCAAAAGACTTGCGAGTGCAATGTCAAGGGGAACTATATGCCCTTCGAATGTTTGAACTCTCCTGGAGCAATCTGAAAGGGAAGCTTTACCACTTTTACTCTGGACTATATGCTGTTTTCAACAGTTGCCCGAAAAAAAAGTCCCGCAAGCATAACAATTTTGTATGGATTTAAACTAAGAGCTTATCTACTTAGTACATAACTTGAGTCATTCAGGATAGTTTGCTTTTTGCAAAAGAGAGTTCCCAGCCAGTTCGACCCTACTTATTTCTAGTCTCTTCTCTCTGAGAGTGAGAAGATCTTCTGGGGGACACTATACCTGGTTATCTCAAAGATTAAATCAAAGTATGTCACTTAAAAATTTGTACAGGATTTTTGTGCATATTAGCCTCTGTAATTCTCACAACTGTCTTTTGAAAAGTCATTGCTATCAATCTTTTTACACTTAGTAAACCGAAGTCGAGAGTTCAATGACTTGATGGGGAGTTCAGCAACTTACCAGAGGGGACAGGGGCACTAAGTGGTAAAGCCAGGATTTAAGTCTCCTGTTTCCAAATTTAGTGTGCCTTCCACTCTATCCCAGTGCCTGTCTCAGGAACTAAAAATAGTTCTTTTAAGAACTGTAACGTGGAAACACTACAGTCTATAATGATTCTATAAGAAGGAAGATGAGTCAGAGAAAAGGCAGATCTAAAGCTGATTCCAAGTCTATAGTCCTGAGAGGATTTCTACTGCATTAAAATAGGAAAATCACAGTGGAGTTTGAAGGGAAAGATGTTAAGTGTATGTATTTTAAAGCTCAATGTTTAAGCTTTTGTAAATTATATGGTTGGAGGTGACCAACTGTCAGAGAGCTCAGAAAAGAGGTTGAGAATCAGGATGAGTTTCTTACGGGAAGCTGGGTGAGATCAACCAGGGAAAAGCCTACTAATGCGGGAGGGTTATCTACTGATAACCCTTATCAGTAGAATCTCAGAAAATCTGTAAGGTAAAGGGAGATCACATATATTTAGAAAGATGGAAAAAGTAGTCTCATTTCAAGAAATGGAAAATTAATCTTAAAATGAAGAAAATAATCACCCCTCAAAGATAAAAATAAAACAAAATGCATTTAAAGTCATAAAGAAATCATGAAATGGGAGGAAAATGAGTTGAGAAAGTGCATGTCAAATCATTGCAATGTCCTCACTAAAGGCAAGGAGAGGAAAGGGTTATTTCTCAAAAGTAAAATGTTGGGAGAGCTACTGTGAGGAAGTTACAAGAGAGGAACTAGACACAAATGCAAGCAAAACTGACCTAAGGGGAGGACCTAAGAGTTGTCAAACAACTTCACATGTAGTGGAAAAATCATCATAGTTACCACAGAATTCCTCCCAAGAGCAAAGAAATAGGAGAATTGAACCAGGTTAGGACCTAACAAGAAACATATGCTATAAGGTCAAAAGAATGAGAGAAATTTTAACATGATGTGGGAAGTTAGCTAAAATGGCTAAACATAAGTTCTAAGCTACATATTTAAGATAAAAGGGAAATTAAGTGAGAAAGATTGAAGTAAATTTGGACAGCAGCTTCCATATGTGTGAGAAGTGGGAGGGGCAAATACAAATATAATCTCTATGCTGATTCCATAGACTGGACATGTTACCTCAAATGCACCAGTTTTTACCACTTCCACTTTTATTTTCAGTCATTTACTTTACCTGCCTCTCCCTTGAGAACATTCACGTTTGTAACCATTTGTCAAAACTTTCTATCCATTCTTTTTCCCCCATTTGCTCCTGAATGCCCTTCGCATTCGTTTCCTGTGCCAGCTGTAACAAGTTAACACAAACCGGCTGTCTAAAAGAACATAAATTGTTTATCTCACAGTTCTGGAAGAGAGAAATCAGGAATCAAGGTGTCAGCGTGGCCATGCTCCTGGATGCTCTAAGAGAGTATCCATCCTTTGCATCTCTGAGCTTTTCTGTGGGCTGCCATGTGGACATACATTTGGAGCTACCATTCAGTTCACTACATTCTTCAACCTATGTCCCATCCACATCCACTCTCTAACACATACAGACACTCACACACAAACACACAACTCAACCAACCTTCATTAATAGCACTGATGGATGACTTCCTATAGGTCTCAAGGTCAATTTTCAGTTTTCATGAGATTTTCTTTTTTTTTAAAGATTGTATTTATTTATTTTTATAGAGGGAGGAAGGGAGAGGGAGACATCCAGGTGTGGTTGCCTCCTGTGTGCCCCCTACTGGAGACCTAGCCCACAACCTGGACATGTGACCTGACTGGGAATTGAACCAGCAACCCTTTGCTTCCCAGTGTGATGCTCAATCCACTGAGCCACACCAGCCAGGGCCAGTTTTCCGGAGATTTTCTACAATATCAGGCATCCTTAACAGCTGTGGACTTCTGCAAACGCTCTCCTTGCCGAACTACTAGGATTTCATTTTCCCTGATTTCCATTCTTTTCACCATTTATTTTCAGGCCCATTTGCTGCTGCCAGCTCCTTCCCTATCCACCTCTTACATGGTGGTGGAAACTAGAGAACTTCCTCTTCTTTTCTCACTTTTTACTGTCTGGGTAAATCTATCAACTTGTAGAGCTTCCACTACATCTTTGTGTTCAGTATGCCCAATCTATAACTCCACCCGACTTCTTGCCTGACTTCCACACCAGTGCTGTCCAATGGAACATTCTGCTCTCATGGACATATTCTGTATCTACACTGTCTAACGCAGCAGTCACTAACCAAATGTGGTTATTAAACACTTAAAATTTGGTCAGCTGCTGATAAGCTAAATTTTTAAGATTTTTCTTTTACTAAATTTAAATGTAAATAGCCACATGTGGTATTGGCTACCTATTGGATGGTACAAGTCTAAAGTCCCCTCTAGGTGCCATACCTAGGGATCTTCCTGTCATTCACACAATATGTCTTTCCACTGAGTGACTATTTTAGGACTCACCCACCAAGCCCTCTGTGAACCAAGTAACTCCAGGCTTAATTATTTGATTTCACTTTTGTCTTTCCATGACTCATTTTCCTTTAAATTATTATACATAAAGTTGTATATTATAATATATATAGTTTATTTACATATATCATTTTATAGTTGTTTATGCTTGTGTTATGATCTCCTTGAAAAGGGAGACTATTACCTTAACTTATTCCATAGTCTTTATAAGCCAACACGGGACCAACCGGTCTCATTGATTAAATGCAAAAATGAGCAACTCTACGTTGCTTGGAGTCCACCCTACATTATCAGAGATAACAAAGTGCAGGCTCTGAAAAGCAAGGACCTTCTGCTCACCTCAAAGTCCCCTCATGAGAATGGCCAAGTCCAGGTAATTCAAGAAGGATCCATATCCATAAACTAGATGATAGAAAATCTTGTTGTTTGTCTGTTTGGTTTGGGTTTGGTTTTGGTTTTGGTTTTGGTTTTTAATGAGTTGCAGTTTTAGGAGCCTTAAAAACTA